GTTAAAACCGTCCTTTTACTGTGTAATAAACCTAAAAAGCAAGATTTGAAGAGCAACTAAAGGGTAAAAATGGAAGAACATTGTCGAATAAACAGTGTTTCAGTTCATTTTCTCTTTTGGTATATATATAATTTTGATTAAGCTCGTAGTCAAATCCAGCTTCTAAATTAATCGAGCATGCACGAATCTGTTTGAATTTATTTATTTAATCTGAAAGCAAAAAAAAAAATGTAAAAATAAAACATCATCTTTGTGAACTTTTAAGAAGAAAATTGATTCAAAGGAAAAGTGGGGTTAACTACTGATGCTGACACAACATTATAGATCCTTCTGGGGCAGGATCTTTTTTATGAGAATCCTAATGATCCTCAAATTGTGTCCGTTCATTGTATATTGTGTGATCAATTTTCATCAGATACTATTTATATTTAATTTAAAATAAAAATATTTAAAATGATTTTTGACCGCACGATATATGATAAACAAGATACGATATGTGAATCTCCATATCCTCATAAAGAGCATCCGGAAAGGATCCCCATTCCTTGTGGGGGCACACATTTCTCTCTTTCTTTCCTCCTTTTCTCTATATCTAAATTATCAAAACTCAGTGTCTCTACCCACATTACTTATGCTATCATAGCTTGCCACTTATCCTACTAATTAATTATGAGTATGTTAGGAATACTGAATTTGTAGACAAAATAGAAATGAATACGTTTATTAATGCTTAAATAATAATGCAATCATCAACTTCTCGTTTGGTTTACAAAATTTTATCTATAAACTTAGTTTTCCTTGGATTGCTCATTAATTATAGTTATTTTTTTCTTTTTCTGATGAAATAATTATGGGAGAGAATCATTCCTTTAACAGTTTACTTCCACTTTTGCCCCAACATCATTAAGAAATTTTTTGAAAACAAGGCCTAGGTTTGAGTTGGTAATCCCTCTTGATAGGCAGTTTGTAAAAATAAAAAAAAAAGGGGCTAAGATCCCTTCTGTAAGTCGTGAAACTCACGGGCCTAAACTTTTTCTCACCAAACGAAAAAAAATAAAGAAAATAAAGAAGCTAAAGTAGAAGCTGTTCACAGTCTCCATGTATTTGTCTTCCTCCAAATACTGAAGAATTATAAAAACGAGATCTCTGCTTGCTGTCAAGTGAAAGTTGTTAGTGTGTGTGTATTCGATATGCTTCTTCAATGGAGACTCGATACAAAATCTGGAAAATACCAGAGAATGATAGAGAATTTGCAGAGATGACGATGGAATTAATTTATGGAATTCCACATACAAAGCATGTGTGGTTTGTTACCGTTATACATGGAAGAGGAAGGAAGATCCTTCACTCATCAAACTGAAAATACAATCTCAGCCCTTAATTGCTATCACCCAATGAGATGATATCACTTGTCTTAATCTATCACTTAAGCTAGATACAAGAGAGAGCAGCCACATGGACTATGATCCAATGGCTCAGATTTAAACTGAAAACAACTATAAAACAAACCATTTGAATTGTTCCTTTGACTCCAAGTTTCGGCTGAAGGGTTACACACCAACAAAAGTAAAATAATTTGCCAAAGTATATTTGGACGAAGAAAGAGCTATTCAAGACGTCGCTCTCACATGTATTTAGAGACCAATGGGAAGAAGGAAAGCGTCAAACATGACAACTAAGAAACTCTAACTATCTAGGGCTTTTAGGTGGATATATAGATTTCAACCATTAGCAATTAGCTAGCATGGCGAACAAACGGCGCGGCGGCAAGCGCAAGGGGAAAAGTGACGGTGGCATCAGCAGCATCATGGCCAATCGGGAGAAAGAGGGAGGCAGTGGCGGCACGAACGATGCGCCTGGACAAGCAGGGCCGAATAGCGACAACGGGTCGTTGTATCTATGTTGCATAGAGCGGAATGACCAAGTCTTTTCTTACATAATCCTTGCCATCAAATTAAGGATTTGTTTCATCATCATGCTCTTGCTTGGATCCCAATCGAGCGGACTGTTTGTATATATTGTTAGAATTCCTTTGTCCCACATCAGCCACAGAAGGCTTGAGAACAAGTCATTTAAATAGAATTATCTCACTCTAACTAATACCGAGACCTTTTGTATTAAAACCCCACACTTGACGAATTGAGCAGGTGGCCAAGTGGGGATAGTATCGGTGTTGTTGGAGTGGGCCCATGGCCCGTCTATCTGAAATTTAATATGGTATCAGAGGCAGGGGACAGATCTGTACATCCACGTGAACGGGTGGGTCCCATTTGGCCCCGCGCAAATGGGTGAGCCCTGACATGGCTCCACGTAGGCCAAAAGATGCCACGTGCATTGGCCCAACGCGAACGGGTGAGCCCCGGCTTGGCTCCCGTGGTTGCCGATCTATGGAACTTCACGTGTGACCCATAAAATGGGATCTCACGTGCGAGGGAGTGTTAGAATTCATTTGTCTTACATTGGCCAGAAGGCTTGAGAACAAGCTCTTTAAATAGAATTACCCCACTCTAACTAACATTGAGGCCTTTTGTGATATAACCCCACACCTGACGGATTGAGCAGGTGGCCAAGTGGGGACAGTATCAGTATTGTTGGAGTGGGCCCATAGCCCGTCTACCTGAAATTTAACATATATAATCACAGAAAATGAAATTATAAAAATGCAATAAACTAACGGATTCTACAAATAAACTTGTTGGATTTGCAATGTCCTTGAAACATAATTGCATCTCTACTCAGTGCATGTAGTTATGCATAGGATAACTTCTCTGTGTTTCTTCTAAGAAGTTTGTATGGAAGAGGGTTGCAAAAATGACCTAGAAAGAATGCAAAGGAAGGTTCTTCAGATATATAGGCACCTGATGCCTTTTCAAAACAGGTGTAACTGTTTGTTTCAAATTCAAATAAATACAACAGTTTAAATCAATCCAAAAATTAAAAAATTAATTAATTAATCTCCTAAAAACAAAGTTCCTTTAAAAAAAAAATAAATAAATAAATACAAAGTCATTAGAGCCCCAGGCCCTAGTCTTTAATTATATTTTTAATTAATCATCTAGACCAAACCACATGGGCCTCCTCACATGCACTTCAATCCATTTGAGTTTAGATGTTACTTAAGACTTATTAATCACTATAAATTTTCTCCTGCCATTAATGTGCAACTTTAAAAAAAACTTAACGAAAACATTGTTCTTCCACGTCAACAACAGTCAATTAAACAAATATTCTCAGAAAAAACTAGCAACGACTAATTGCTTATACAAACAAAGAAACTCAAGACTTTGATTAAAATAACGACGAGAAACCGCGTAATAAATAATCATGTCATTCATCAAATGCTCGGCAATGAACTGGAAAATGCTCCGAAGGCACAGTCGAAGGGGCAACATATATATCAATCATGCAATGCAAAAGTGCTGCTTACATTAGAGCTTAATTTACAAGTACTCACAACATCCCTTGTACGTATCTAACCATGAAGTTAGAAGAGCTAGAGAAAAGCTTCAAGGAGTTAAAGACCATCAATGGAGAGCAAGAAAAACGCGTCCATTACCACGAGACAAGAGCTCATAACTTAACCATCAGTTATCTTATACTGCAAGCCCTATTTTTCCTAGGGTTTTCGTCGTCACAGCCGCCGAGTGGTTTGGATTCCGGTAGAAGGATCAAATGGTGGGTGCCCTTCAGCATGATACTAGTTTCCTCAATAATATTCTTCATGGCTTTCCTAGACGCCGTAACAATGTTCTACCGAGTACAGTATCATCTTGATATCAACTATATGGAGCAGGACCTCATGTACAAGAAGATACACGACGCTAAGCATCCACTTCCTAAGAGCCACGTGTCCATACAATTAAAAGAGTGTCATACTGTCAAAGTTGATGTTTTTAAGCTCTTGAAGCGCAAAGTTTGCATTTACTTCACAACTTTGAGTTTGTTTGCTCTCACAGTATTTCAGTTGTATGCGTGCCGCTTCGTTTATCATGCAGTATGATGATGTTGTTTTAGGGTTGGCTGCATGGTGGTCCGATGACGGTCGTAGAAATTGAATGTAATCTAGTAGTTAGCAACACGATTTCTTACCTTAATGCATATTGCTACAGTACCAGAATAATAAAAGAAGATTAAGCAGCAACAACAGTTAAGCCTTATCCTATTAAGTAGGGACGGTTGTATGAATTTTAGAATGTCTTGATTTTGTGCTAAGTCTTCATTAGCTTCAAATCATAAAAGAAGATTGGCTTACGAAATTTCAAGGCTGTAGCAAGAGGAATAGACTTCTCTTTTCGATGGATTAGAAAGAAATAAGCCGACTTCGCCGACTTCTCCACAAGAAACTGCTTTGAAGTTTCTTGCATCTTGACATTTTCCTCTTTTTTTGGTTTTTTTAATTTTCTAGAGTTTTGGAGTGAAGGATTTTTGTTGAGTTTGTGGACTTTTATTGAAATTGATAGACTTTACGGTGTTGGAGAATAAATGGTAATCATATTAAATTGTCAACAAGTGTGTCGATTTTGTGTATTTAAATAATTTTATTGAAGGTTTTTTTTTATCATTGTATAGAATATAATTGACAAATCTCGCCAGAATCCTAACAGGTAAAAAATGTTATTAGCAGTCTAAAATAGTTATTTTGCACTTCTTCTCTCACACTTTTTTTCACTAAAGAAAACACTTGATGACTTTTTAGAAATGCAAATAGCACCTCCGTTATTATATATGCCAAGTTTAAATGAATTTTTTGTTTGGAAAAGAACATGGTCATCATAACAAGGGAGAAATTGGTATATAACCAAGGATAACTAGTTACTAGTTAGTATCTTAATTGTCTCGTGTCTCTTGTCGAGCTAATGCAATAAATAATAACAGGATAATCTAGAAAGGCCCACCCAAATACAAATTGGCCCAATTGACTACGTTTGGGCTCAAACCCAACATGTTTGGGCTTCAACGATACAATGATAACAGTAGTAATAATTTAAGCGCCAATCTCACTCCACCTGGGACTGGAAAAGCTGAATCGAACTCCCCTCCAGCTCGCTGTAATTTGCAAATTCCATCCGGGTCCTCTGCAATTCCGCAAGGTACAATTCTTCCTTCCCCAAAAATCCTGAAATTTCAACTTCTATAAACCCTAGATCCCTTTTAACCCCCTTTTCCCTTTTATTATTATGCTCCAAACTTGATACCAATTGCCACACAACTTCAATTATGAACTGCTTTTATGGACTCCCTGATCACCCTTTAGTTTCCGGGAAAAAAAATGTGATGTAAAGCTAATGAAAATTGCGTTTTCCCAACTAAAAAGTTAAATTCTTTGTAAAAAAATCATTGAAAAGTAGTGAAAAATGCAATCTTTTAGTATTTCTTAAATAAAACTAAATATTTTAATTCTTGGTCAAAAAATTATAGTGATAAGTAGTGAAAGATGCAATTTTTTATATGTTTGTAGACATAGCTGGGGAAGATGGAGAATATGCAGTATGCTGAGGAGCTTGTGAGGGAGTTTCTTGTGTTTAGAGGATTCACCAACACTTTGCAAACTTTTGATTCCGAATTATCTACGGATATTGGTAAAGGATTTCAAGTGGATAGGATAATGGAATTAATCTTCTCAGTGTATGTACCTAAGTTTCAGGCAGATAAGTTAGTTGGCCTGTTCAGTTTTTTCAAGCTGTGTCTCTCTTCATCATCCGAGACCGTACTTTTGGCTACTCTTTCTAAATTGGAGGTGTCAATTCTACGGTACTACGTTGTTAATGCCATCCAGTCAGGGAGGAGGGACAAAGTTTTAGAGTTCTTTGGAATGAATGGGAATGATTTGTTGCAAAGGGACAAGGATTGGACTGCATGGTTTGGTGGGTTTGTCTTTTTGTCTTTCTATTTTGGTATGATTAAGCTACTGTCTTTCGTTGATTTACCTTTTCATATGTGTGATGCAGCCATTCCATATGTAAAGAAACCAAACTCTGATCCTGAGTTTCGTATATACTTTTCAAAGGAATGGTACGAGGCCTTGCGTTTATCTGTGAGGAATTTCTTTAGTGAGATCTTCAATGGTACTCATATCCTTCAAAATTGTTTTTTATTTTCATTTTTATATATGTTGTTATTTGAGAATGGGCTGTTTATCTTGGTAATTATTGCGTCCAACTCCATAGACTTTTGATTTATCAGAATTTCATAGCTACCATACGAACACCAGTTTTGTTTGTATCAACCTTGCTCTAATTTATTTTGAGTTTGTATATTTCAAGTGAAAACGAGGTTAGTTTTGCATTGGTTTGTCCCCTTTTATTGAGCAATGTATCTAAGTTTGAAGAAAATTCCCTTAACTAAATCACGCATGCCAGCCCTTTTGAAAATCAGTTCAGAGAAGACTACTGTCAACCGTCTGAAAAAAGACATCAAGCAACTCAATCTCAAGCTGTCTGAACTTCAGGCTTTGTTGGAGGAAAAAGATGGTGAATTATGCCAGTTAAGAAGGTAACGTTTTTCATTGTTTCAATCCTTTAGAGTTGAGTGTGTCACGTTTTATAAGTTGTATATACTTGGTGCTAGGGTTCGTCAGTATTTTGAGACTATCATGTTTTTCTCTTTTCCTTATTCCTTTATTTCATTTTTGAAACTCAGTAATTGTTCATCAGTAGCCGATGCAAGCACTGAACGAACCAGGAGTTCATCAAGTGTAGTGCATGAGCAAAATCGTCTTATATCTAAAGATACTCAGGAAAATTGCCCTCCTGATACTTTTCAAATAGAAGAAGCAGAGGTGGATCCAGATTGGGTTGTTGCTGGAAACATGGGAAGTAGACCAGAATTTAACATATCTAAGTCGGATCCTAATTTAAGTTCTCAGTCAAGTCCTCGCGTGAGAGATGGTAGAACTGCTGATAGTATTCAGCTGTTCGAGGATGGCGCCTATACTGGTAGGTAACTTCTATGACTGAATTATTTTTCCTTCGTGTAGTGGGGATGGTGCAGTAGCTGTTATGGAGATTATCTGTTAAGTAACTATGGAATATGATTGCAGAAAATGGCAGGGAAAGCCATGTAGAAGACTTCCCTGAAGTTAAGGTTGACTTCCAGGTAAATTTCTTCCAAGGCATGATTGGATCTTGATGCTACAAGCTCATATTCAATTTGTTGTGCTTTTGTAGTTTTGTTGCTCGCTTTTTCTGATACTTTTCCTCAGCTTCAGTTGTTTATGTTTTATTGGAGACTCCATAACTTTCAGATCATCATTGTTCTTAGGAGACATTTTTGGGCCACACAAGTCCAATAACTCGCTGTCGTTTTTCTGCATCTGGAAACAATATAGCCAGCGCCTCTGAAGATGGCACAGTAAGGTATTTTTTTCTATAGTTACGAAGTGCTATATTTATTGTTCAACTCCTTGACTATTGGCTGATTTCTGAACTCTTTGACCATTGGCTGATTTCAAATCATAATCTGTATTTGTTCATTAAACAGGATATGGACGTATGACTCATCAACTCCGTCATCTAGAAATGCAACCATTTATTGTGGAGCCAAGATTATGTCACTTGACTGGGAGTGTAAATCTGACCGATTGGTATGCAGATTAGATTTTCAAAGTGCACTCAGATATGGCTTGGCATTGGAATGTTAACCTGATTATTTGACATTGGAAATATCTAGTTTAAGTGTTTTTTTTCTTTTGACAAAAGCTTCTCATAGGCACTGCTGATGGAGGCATTAAAGCATGGAATGTCGATGCAAAAAGAGTTGTCTGTGATCTTAGCACGAGTGAAGAATTTCCTAGGTTCTTCCTATTTTTACTTGGGTCTATTGTGTACTTGTTGGTGCTCTTATTTACCTTTTTCTCCCTTGTGACAGTATCTTGGATATAAAGTGCAGCCCTGTAGAGCCAATTTTTGTTACTGCAGCAGCATCCAAGGGGTATGTTCTTTATGTAATCTTATCATGTTGTCCATATACCTCCGTGTTTGATCAAATTCTTGGCCTGTATTGTAACAATCGTCTTCAACTGAAGTATGGTATGAACACTGTGAATGATTATAATTTGATCATGAAAGATTCTTCTTACAGTTTACTTACACACATATATGTCTCTGTATGTGGGCTTGGGCATTAAATTTTCATGAATGTCAGTATTAGGACTTTTATTGTATTTGTAGGTACGGATCAAGTTACGCTGATAATATGGGGTTTGCTTCATTAACCGTGTGGAACATGAAGACGTGGAAGGCCATGGTATGTCCTTTCTTTGCACCAGAAGATCATATATGCATGATATAGCAACTTAAACTTTTATGTCTTTTTCATCTCTGAGAATGCACTGGTAATTTTATTCCTTAATAATCTTTTGGGTTTCGTGAAGACAGTTCTTCCTCTTGGTAAAGATCCACCTGCAATAACATCCCTCAGTTTCAATCACAATGGCAAAATTTTAGCGGCCACTGCAACTGATGGAATGATTCACATGTTTGGTATCCTCACATATATTTTTTAACACTTTTGCATTACTTCAGTGTTATTTATTTTCCAATATGGCTAAATTTATCGCCCTGAACAAGGGCATTTTAGCTGTATGGTCAAGCCCTTGTCTTAATAGAATCGCAAATGGGTGCCCCCCCTTCTACATAGCTTAGCTTGCCTGCATATGTACATGTACTCTTACATATATGAATACCTTAACAAGCCAAAGATATGTCTGCCTGTCTACAAATAACCGGTTGGCCTGCACATGACTCTGCTATAAGCTCCATTCTTTTCGGGCCTGATGAGACAAGTATTTTCAGTTTGGGAGTAGATGGAAAGGCAAGTGCTTTACATTCCTTTTTGCACCAAATTTTGATTAGAGAATTTGAAATTTGTCACCGTTATTAGTTGAACTGCAGCTGGTCTAATGATTTTGCCCTCCCAAAAGTATTTTGCCTAATAGAACTGTTGCTGCGGTGTCAGGTGTTTGAATGGAGCTTGCAAAACCAAGGTCAAATCCTTTGGTCAAGGAACTGTAGCAGGTACTTATTCTTTGGCATCCCAATATTATTAGTAGATATCGGTTACACTGCAGTCTTGTCAAACAAAACTATTTCGCCACACACCTGATTAATTTGCTCTGCTCCCATCCATCCATAGGTTCTGTGACCCCGAGAGCTCAAAAAATTGCAGACATGAAATGGCTTTAGATGCCAATGGGAGGAGACTGTTGGTCACATCCGGTTATGTAAGAGCACCCATATACCAGGTTGTTCTCACTTCTCCGTACGTGTGTCTGAGTGGCTTCGTTGTGTATAGCGTTTCCTGATTGTCGTGTTTTGAAGATCTAGGTGATGCTTTGTGTTAACACAATTTTTTGTTTCATTAACTTGGTTCAGGTCCGGGGTCATGCGAATGGGTTGAGAACTCTCCCACACAGTGCTGCCATAACTACTGTAGATTGGCACCCGACGTTACCCATCTTCTTAACAGGATCAGCTGATAACTCTGTCCGAGTGACATCTTTGTCATAAACGTTTCTGACTCCATCTTCGTGTTCTTAGTGTGCCTGACGTTGAATGAAGTTCACTCGCAATGTGTTTGAACTGGTTTCGTTCTGGCTTTCATCCGAGCAATGTGTCTTGTATTCGTATGTTGGTGTAAATCATTGAACAGATTTCATAGATCATAGCAATTCTTTGATGCACTCATCTTTTGCCCTTGGGGCTGGGAAATGCCCTGTTTTATTGAACTTTATATGATTGTTGTTGGAACTATATTACACGCGGCTAGGGTGCAACTTGGATAGGAATATCTGATTCCGAGCCAAAACATTCCAAAATATTTCGACCAATTAGAATCTGAAATTCCGAATCCGAATAAGAAAAAAAAAATGGTATGGGAAGATCCGATCCGATTGAAAATCAGTCCACAGCATGACAGAGCAACCCAATATACGTAACCCTTTAGACAAACAAGCATCATAGTTGATGACATTTTATATCACATTGCATCAGAATAAAAGAGAAATAAAAAAACAATTCCGATATTACATTAAATCTAAATGAACAAAAGTTGAGCCACTCGAAATTTAAGTTTTGAAGTACGCTTTTACCCCAACGAGACCTACGATATTACTTGTCGACTTTTATTCCTTCAATTAGAGGTCGCAGGGCGCACACGAGATGATCCTTGTGGTTCCACTATCTACAAAGTCAACAAAAAGTGTCTTATAATTGAAGGTAAATAAATAAAAAGCTTAAAAATAATGCTTCGGCAGTCTTCTATCGAAATCTCTCATTAAACTCGGAAAGAACAACAGAGTTTAACGGGCGGAGTTCGGAAGTATATAACAATTTAGGAGAGTAGAGCTTTACCGTTTACCTTTGAAATCTCCCCTGCAGCTTTGCCTTCACAGGCAACGGGTCTTCACATAATCCGAGCTTTTATATCATCAAAGAACCGGAAATAGGCGTACCTCCAAGATGTCTTCAGAACTAAAGTACCACAAACACTCCAGAATCCTATGATAAATCCAAGCGCCAAGCTAACATAAAATCCAAAGCTTATGAGACCATCATCATCTTGTTTGGTCTGGTCACTTCCACTGCCATTAGGGACTGCAGGATCTTCCGTTGTTGCATCTACCGGGCATTCTGGTGTGAGCGGTTGTCCGCAAAGTCCATGATTTCCCGTAAATTGAGAAGCATTAAAACTTTGAAGTTGAGTACTTAGCGGAATTCTACCTGATAAGTTGTTGTATGACAAGTCCAAGACACTAAGATAATGTAAGCTCGAAAAACTCGGAGGAATGCTACCAGATATCTGGTTTCGTGACAAATCAAGCGATTCTAACATCTCCAGCTGACCAAAGTTGTTAGGAAGCACCCCAGTAAAACTGTTTCTTGACAGGTTCAGAGAAATCAACTTCAGCAAACTTGTTACACTTTCTGGAATGTCTCCACTTAAGTTGTTGCTCGAAATGTCAATGCTTCTCAAAAGCTTAAGATTTTCCCGAACTCTATCTGTATTCCTTTCCAAGTCAGTTGCACAAACCCAACAAAGGTGCTGTCCTCCACCTCGGTGGCCATCGATGACAAAGCTGGTATGTTAGCGAGGCAATGTGGCAAGGCTCCGGATATATTGTTCTTGGAGAAGTCCAAAACATGAAGGGCAGGAAGACTGCATAGACTTAAAGGTATGCTTCCATAAAACTCGTTCGACTTTAAGCGAAGAACCAGCAACATTGATAGGTTCGGGCCTATCCATGTCGGTATTTTTCCAGATAGTTTATTGGCACCGAGGTCAACAACTCTTAATTCTGTACAGTTCTCCAAAGAAGGCAATTCTCCAGAAAGTTTGTTATCCTGTAAGTGTAACAATACTAACATATTTTAAGTAGCCTAATGAGCTTGGAATTTTCCCTGAGAAGTTGTTTTTAGCCATGTTCAAGACGAACAACCTTTGAAACTGCATCCAACAACTAGGAAGTTCGCCGGATAGCTGATTGTTGGAAAGGTCTAGATAAAGCAAGTTTGCAGCTTCTGTTTCACAAAAGGAAGATAAGGGTCCTGAAAACATGTTTTTGGAGAGATCCAGGGTAACTACACCTGAAGGAATGGCGGAAGTGGGCCGTCCATGAGATTAGATGACAAGTCAAAAGAACTGAAGGTGCAGTTTTTTGTTGACAGATTTGGCAACTTTCCATGGATTTGGTTCATTGATAGGTTTAACTCGACGAAGCTGGAAGACAGATCCCAAAACTTATCAGGTATAGAATCCGAAATCTCAGCATCAGCCATGTAAAGTGAAGTAAGTTTTTTCTGAGTTTGAATCCATTTCGGAAAAGCAGGGCCAACCTTGCAGGAGGACAATCCTAGACTTTTGATTTGGAAAGGCGGATTCCAATCCGAGCTCAAGTTGAAAGACAAAGGATTATGAGAAAAATCCAAAGTGTTTAAACGGGAGAGATTGGAGAAGTGCACTTCAGTTATGACACCATTTAAAGAATTCCAAGAAAGATACTAAATCTTCGAGGCTGGAAAGTTGGCCGATACTCTCAGGTAGAGATCCGTTGAGTTGATTATTGGAGATAACTAACTCCCTTAACAACGAAAGACCTGTAAAATCGGGCAGTGATCCGGTGAACTGGTTGTTGAATAGATTCAAGTATCTTAGCTGGGAGAGTGGCGGGAAACTTTTTGGAAGAGATCCACTTAAGTTGGTGCCATCAATGTACAAAGTTTTCAAAGATGAAAATCTTGCAAGGTTGTCAGGAAATGAACCCGAAAATGGGTTCTGACTCAGGAACAAGGACTCGAGGGTGTCTTGAGCACAAGACAAGTTTTCGATAGAGTCTTCAAGTCTGTCGGAAAGTGTATTTCCCGTTAAATCCAACGACTCTAAGCTGCAAAGGTTTTGAAAGGATTTTGGTATCCCGCCTTCAAGTATGTTATCGGTGAGATCAAGAGACACGAGAGAAACCATGTTTGCAAAAACATCTGGGAAGGGACCTTGCAACTGATCATCAACTAAACCAATGTGAACAAGGTTGGTGCTGACATTGGCCATCCAATAAGATATTGAAAGATCAAGAATATTATCCGACAGCTCAAGGACTTGAAGAGAGTTTGAAGAATTGACAAAAGAAAGCGAACTCAGTTCGACATTGGGAAGATTACACGAAGATAAATGAAGCTCAACAAGTGAAGGGAGTTTGCTTATAGATTCTGGCCAATTTACAACCTTGGAAAAATTAAGATACAACATATTCAAGTACCTCAAAGAAGAAAGATGAGATAACCACTCGAGATTTTCAAATGTGACATAGTTCCATGCAAGATCAAGAGTATACAAACTAGAGAGATTTCCGAGTTGGGGAGGAATTGGTCCGCTAAGATTAGCACCTGCTAGTTTGAGTTGTTCCAATCGACTCAAAGAACCAATGAACTTGGGAATTTGTCCTTGGAAATGATTGAAACTGAGGTCCAAGTTAGTTAGATATGGCAATTCAAGTAGAGAAGGAGCAATCACACCACTTAGAGGAGTTTCAACATTATAAATATCAGAAGAACTGTAATAGAGATCTAGTGTGATGACATGACCTGTTTCGTTGTTGCAAGTGATTCCTCTCCACTCGCAACAATCTCTGCCGGTTTTCCAAGAAGCAAGAACGTTGGACTTGTCAATGAGGCCTTGTTTGAACTGAAGCAAGGCGGTTTTTTCTGTTTGTAAGCACTTGATGTCGGAACTGATTCCAGCACCCAAACAGCATTTGGCAGATGTAAGAACGAACAAGACAAAATATATGACTGTGAGCAACATGGTATGTGAAATTGTGAATTGAATTGCATGTGAATTTGGGAATGAAAGCAAGAGATGTTGCTTTATAGATTGATCCTTTGTTGTCGTTTTCTGAAGTCAATTAGGGTAATGACGTTTTGAAGTCATTACGCATTTTATGTTAGAAAATTGAAACGCCTGCAGTGCGTGATTGGTTTCGAATCAACACGGAATGTGATGGGCAGAGGTGAAGGGGATATAGTGAGTTTTAATACCTTTGCCTTACAAAAAGGAACTGAAAAAGTCATTGTGTCCATTTGATAAATATGAGTCTATGGACTATCTGTTTGTTCTTAAGCAGGATACTGGGCGGCAAAGTCGAGTAAGGGCGAGGATAATATTTACAAATCAATAGAAAAAAATGGGGGATTTCAATTGGAATAATAAGGTGGACTGAGGTGTTTTGTCCCACCTTCTGGACTTTTTTGACGGATTTTTTACGATCTAGTGTTATTCTAATCTGCAGTGAGACGAATTTGAATTTGAGTGCAAGGAGGACAATTTATTTTGACCAACTGATATAACCCAATCTGCCACCTGTTTTTCACTTCTTGATCCGGATTATCAAAATGATCGGTTTTAACCCAACTGATCTAACCCAATCTGCCACTTGTCTTTTACTTCTTGATCCAGATTATCAAAATGATCGTTTTAACCCGACGAACATACCATTAGAATAAGATGGACTGGAGAATTACATGAAATTGCACTTGCAATACTAAGCGGCTTGGTTGTAGCACACCATAGTAATTGAACATTCAGACCCAAGAACAAAGGGATGAACATTGTTGTATCATGTGATAGCCCTATGGAGCCAATCTTTGTTACTGCAGCAGCATCCAAGGGGTATGTTCTTTATGTAATCTTATCATATTGTCCATACAATCGTCTTCAACTGAAGTATGGCATGAGCACTGTGAATGATTACAATTTGATCACGAAAGATTCTTCTTACAGTTTACTTACATGCATATATGTTCGTGTATGTGGGTTTGGGCATTAAATTTTCATGAACGTCAGTATTACGACTTTTATTGTATTAGTAGGCACGGATCAAGTTATGTCGATAGTATGGGGTTCGCTTCATTAAACGTGTGGAACATGAAGACGTGGAAGGCTATGGTATGTGCTTTCTTTGTGCCAGAAGATCATATATGCATGATATAGCAACTTAAACTTTTATGTCTTTTTCTTTTCTGAGAAGACACTGGTAGTTTTATTCCTTAATAACCTTTTGGGTTTCATGAAGACAGTTCTTCCTCTTGGTAAAGATCCACCTGCAATAACATCCCTTAGTTTCATTCACAATGGGAAAATTTTAGCGGCCGCTGCAACTGATGGAATGATTCACATGTTTGGTATCCTCACATGTATTCCTGAACACTTGTATTTACTTGAGTGTTATTTATTTTTCCAAGATGGCTAAATTTATCGGCGTGAATAAGCGCATTTTAGCCATATGGTCAAGCCCTTGTCTTAACAGAACCACAAAAGGGTACCCCCTTTCTGCATAGCTTAGCTTGCCTGCAGATGTAAACGTCACTCATAGATATATGAACACCTTAACAAGCCAAAGATACGTCTGCCTGTCTACAAATAACTGGTTGGCCTGCACATGACACTGCTATAAGCTCCATTCTTTTCGGGCCTGATGAGACAAGTATTTTCAGTTTGGGAGTAGATGGAAAGGCAACTGCTTTATGTTTCATTTTTGCACCAAATTTTGATTAGAGCATTTGAAATTTGTCCCCGTTATTAGTTGAACTGCAGCTGGTCTTATGATTTTGTCCTCTCGAAAGTATTTGCCTAACAGAACTGTTGTTGCGGTGTCAGGTGTTTGAATGGAGCTTGCAAAACCAAGGTCAAATCCTTTGGTCAAGGAACTGTAGCACGCACGTTTTCTTTGGCATCCCAATATTATTAGTAGACATTGGTTACATTGCAGTCTTGTCAAACAAAACTATTTCGCCATACACCTGATCAATTTGCGCTGCTCCCTTCCATTCCATAGGTTCCTTGACCCCGAGAGCTCAAAAAATTGCACACATGAAATGGCTTTAGATGCCAATGGGAGGAGACTGTTGGTCACATCCGGTTCTGTAAGAGCACCCCTATGCCAGGTTGTTCTCTCTTCTCCATACGTGTGTCTGAGTGGCTTCGTTGTGTATAGCGCTTCCTGATTGTCGTGTTTTGAAGATCTAGGTGATGCTTTGTGTTAATACAATTTTTTGTTTCATTAACTTAGTTCAGGTACGGGGTCATGCGAATGGGTTGAGAACTCTCCCACACAGTGCTGCCAAAACTACAGTAGATTGGCACCCGACGTTAACCATCTTCTTAACAGGATCAGCTGATAACTCCGTCCGAGTAACATGCTTATCATAAACGTTTCTGACTCTATCTCCGTGTTCTCAGTGTGCCTGACGTTGAATGAAGTTCACTCGCCGTGTGTTTGAACTGGTTCGTTCTGGCTTTCACCCGAGCAATGCGTCTTGTATTCCTGTGTAGGTGTAAATCATTGAACAGTTTTTATAGAGCGTAGTTATTCTTTGACGTACTGATGTTTTGCCTTTGGGGCTGTGTGGGCTGATTGAACATCTTTTGGAATGTCACGTAAATTTCAGTTTCTTACATCTCATTAGCCGGAGAAATACCGTTTTATGAACTTTATATGGTCGTTGTTGGAACTATATTACGCACGGCTACGGCGCAACTTGGATAGGAAATCTGATTGCGAGCCAAAAACGTTCCAAAATATTTCGACCAACAAGAATCTGAAATTCCGAAATACACAAAATCGAAGAAAAAAAAAAGTCATATGGGAAGATCTCATCCGACTGAAAGTCAGTCCTACACACACACAGCACAACAGAGCAATCTATTATACATAACCCTTGAGACAAACAAGCATCATAGTTGATGACATTTTATATCACATTGCATCAGAATAAAAGAAAAAAACACTTTTGATATTGCATATAAAATAACGAAAGTTGAGCCATTCGAAATTTAAGTTTTATAGTACGCTTTTGCCCCAAGAAGACCTACAATATTATTTGTCGTTGACTTTTATTCCTTCTATTAGAGGTCGTAGGGCGCACACGAGATGATCCTTGTGGTTCCATATCTACAAAGTCAATAAAAAGTATCTTATAATTAAAGGTAAATAAATAAAAAAAGCTTAAAAATAATGCTTCGGCAGTCTTCTACCGAAATCTCTCATTAAACTCAGAAAGTGCAATCGAGTTTAACGGGTGGAGTTCGGAAGTATATAACAATTTAGGAGAGTAGAGCTTTACCGTTTACCTTTGAAATCTCCCTTGCTGCTTTGCCTTCACAGGCAACGGTCTTCACATAATCCGAGCTTTTATATCATCAAAGAACCGGAAATATGCGTATCTCCAAGACGCGTTGAGAACTAAAGTACCACAAACACTCCAAAATCCTATGATAAATCCAAGCGCCAAGCTAACATAAAATCCCAAGCTTATGAGACCATCATCATCTTGTTTGGTCTTGTCACTTCCACTGCCATTGGGGACTGAAGGATCTTCCGTTGTTACATCTCCCGGGCATTCTGGTGTGAGCGGTTGTCCACAAAGTCCAAGATTTCCCGTAAATTGAGAAGCATTAAAACTTTGAAGTTGAGTACTCAGGGGAATTCTTCCTGATAAGTTGTTGTATGACAAGTCCAAGACACTAAGATAATGTAAGCTTGAAAAACTCGGAGGAATGCTACCAGATATCTGGTTTCGTGACAAATCAAGCGATTCTAACATCTCCAGCTGACCAAAGTTGTTAGGAAGCTCCCCAGTAAAACTGTTTCTTGACAGGTTCAGAGAAATCAACTTCAGCAAACTTGTTACACTTTCTGGAATGTGTCCGCTTAAGTTGTTGCTCGAAATGTCAATGCTTCTCAAACGCTTAAGATTTTCCCCGAACTCAATCTTTATTCCTTTCCATGTCAGTTGCACAAACCCAACAATGATGTTGTCCTCCACCTCAGGGGACATCGAGGACAAAGCTGTTATGTTAGCGAGGCAATGTGGCAAGGCTCCGGATATGTTGTTGTTGGAGAAGTCCAAAACATGAAGGGCAGGAAGACTACATAGACTTAAAGGTATGCTTCCATAAAACTCGTTCGACTTTAAGCGAAGAACCAGCAACTTAGTTAGGCTCAGGCCTATCCATGTCGGTATTTTTCCAGATAGTTTATTGGAACCGAGGTCAACAACTCTTAATTCTGTACAGTTCTCCAAAGAAGGCAATTCTCCAGAAAGTTTGTTGTCCTGTAAGCGTAACAATACAGCATCCTTTAAGTAGCCTAATGAGCTTGGAATTTTCCCTGAGAAATTGTTTTTAGCCATGTTCAAAAAGAGCAAACCTTGAAACTGCATCCAACAACCAGGAAGTTCACCGGATAGCTGATTGTCGGAAAGGTCTAGATTAAACAAGTTTGAAGCTTCTGTTTTACAAAAGGAAGATAAGGGTCCCGAAAACATGTTTTGGGAGAGACGCAGGACGGTTACACTTGAAGGAAATGGTGGAAGTGGGCCGTCCAAGAGATTAGATGACAAGTCAAAAGAATCGAAGGTGCAGTTTTTTGTTGACAGATTTGGCAACTTTCCATGGATTTGGTTCATTGATAGGTTTAACTCGACTAAGCTGGAAGACAGATCCCAAAACTTATCAGGTATAGAATCCGAAATCTCAGCATTAACCATGTCAAGTGAAGTAAGTTTTGTCTGAGTTTGAATCCATTTCGGAAATGCAGGGCCAACCTTGCAAGAGGACAATCCTATAATTTTGATTTGGAAAGGTGGATTCCAATCCGAGCTCAAGTTGAAAGACAAGGGATTATGAGAAAAATCCAAAAAGTTTAAACGGGAGAGATTGGAGAAGTGCACTTCAGTTATGACACCATTTAAAGAATTCCAAGAAAGATCTAAATCTTCGAGGCTGGAAAGTTGGCCGATACTCTCAGGTAGAGATCCGTTGAGTTGATTTTTGGAGATAAACAACTGCCTTAACAACGAAAGACCTGTAAAATCAGGTAGTGATCCGGTGAACTGGTTTAGAACTAGGCTCAAGGATCTTAGCTGGGAGAGTGGCTGAAAACTTTTTGGAAGAGATCCACTTACGTTGGTGCCATCAATGTACAATTCTTTCAAGGATGAAAATCTTGTAAGGTTGTCAGGACATGAACCTGAAAACGGGTTCCCACTTAAAGACAAGGACTCGAGGGTGTCTTGAGCACAAGACAAGTTTTCGACAGAGTCTTCAAGTCTGTCGGAAAGTGAGTTTCCCTCTAAATTCAACGACTCTAAGCTGCAAAGGTTTCGAAAGGATTTTGGTATCCCACCTTCAAGTTTGTTATACGAGAGATCAAGAGACACGAGAGAAACCATATTTGCGAAAACATCTGGGAAGGGACCTTGAATCTGATCACCAGCTAAACCAATGTGAACAAGGTTGGTGCTGACATTGGCGATCCAATTAAATATTGAAAGATTAAGAGGATTATCCGAGAGTTCAAGGACTTCAAGAGAGTTTGAAGAATTGACAAAACTTAGTTCGACATTGGGAAGATTACACGAAGATAACTGGAGCTCAACAAGTGAAGGGAGTTTGCTTATAGATTCTGGCCAATTTACAAACTCGGAAAAATTAAGACGCGACATATTCAAGTACCTCAAAGAAGAAAGATGAGATAACCACTCGAGATTTTCAAATGTGACATAGTTCCATGCAAGATCAAGAGTATACAAACTAGAGAGATTTCTGAGTTGGGGAGGAATTGGTCCGCTAAGATTAGCACCTGCTAGTTTGAGTTGTTCCAATCGACTCAAGGAACCGATGAACTTGGGAATTTGTCCTTGGAAATTATTGAAACTGAGGTCCAAGTAAGTTAGATATGGCAATTCAAGTAGAGAAGGAGCAATCACACCACTCAGAGGAGTTTCAGCATTATAAATATCAGAAGAATTGTAATAGAGATCTAGCATGACAACATGACCTGTTTTGTTGTTGCAAGTGATTCCTCTCCACTCGCAACAATCTTTGCCGGTTTCCCAAGAAGCAAGAACGTTGGACTTGTCGATCAGGCCTTGTTTGAACTGAAGGAGGGCGGTTTTTTCTGTTCGTAAGCACCCGATGTTGGAACTGATTCCAGCACTCAAACAACATTTGGCAGATGTAAGAACGAACAAGACAGAATATATGACTTTGAGCAACATGGTATGTGAAATTGTGAATTGAATTTGGAAGTGAAAAGCAAGAGATGTTGCTTTAAAGATTGATCATTTGTTGTTGTTATCTGGATGTTGACTGCATAATTAAAATATGATGGAGAACAAATTCGTGGAAATGGGATCGCACACTAACAATATTTGAAGTCAATTATGCATTTTCGTGTGGGAAAATTAAAACGCCGGCAGTGCGTGATTGGTTTCAAATCAACGCGGAATGTGATGGGCAGAGGTGAAAGGGATGTAGCAAGTTTTAATACCTTTTGCTTACAAAAGGAACTGAAAAAGTCATTGTGTTCCATTTGATATAATATGAGCCTATGCCTATCTGTTTGTTCTTAAGTTTTATATGGGTAGCAAAGTCAAGAGTAAACGCGAAGATAATATTTATAAATCAATAGAAAAAATGGGAGTTTCAATTGGAATAATAAGGTGGATTGACGTGTTTTGTCTATCTCTTTTTTACGGATTTTAAAACTTGAACCTCTAACACTGGGACCACTCAAGATTCAAATCACTCATCAAGTGTTCGACGAATGCTTCGGTGAACAAACTGAACTTTTTGTTGTTCTGTTTCTACATAAAAAACTTGAAACTTTAACACTAGGACCACCCAAGATTCAAATCTTGAATCTGCCACTGATTATAACAATTGGTTTAAACGAACAGACCGTAAAAATAAGTTGAACCAAAGAATTACATGAAATTGCACTTGGAATATTAAGTGGCTTGGTACTAGCACACCATAATAATTGAACATTCAGGCCAAAAAACAACGGGATGAACATTGGTATATAATGTGAGAATTGATCCAAAATTTTCATCAGTTGTTCAACCTTTACAATACGGAACTATGACAGTTGGGGGCAATCGTGGGACCATTATTTGTAGGATGATGTTGCAGGTGGCATCTAAGGTCCGACAGTCCGGAGGTGACCTTCCCTGTCCACAGGAGTCCCTTACACAATGTACACACATATCACTAATCCAAATTCTACTGCAGGTTTAAGAAAAATGGATGATTTCACCATTTCAGTACTCAGCACGGTGAAACCTGATCAGGCTGCCGTAACTATTCATAAGTCTCTGACATTCATGCTACAACGGATAATGGTATTACAACTCCAGCAGAGTCAGAAGCCAAACCGTCCTTGGATACTCCACCACGGTGAAAACTGATCGTGCTGCAATCTCAGTCATCATCTTCATCATCAAGTACCGTCCTTGACCTCCTCCTGCTTACACCACTCACTGGCAATGTACCTACTTCATCCTCCGAATCTCCCAAATCGGTGTACATTTCCTGACATAGCAAATCCTCCAAATTTTTCACAGGTCCAACATCTAATGGTTTACCACTGCTGGTGCCTGTGACTTCAGATTGTTCTGTGCCATTCAGACTAGCACGTTTGGCAGCAGCACCTTTGTCAACTCCATTTTCCAAAACACTGCCGCTTTCTGTTCCCTGAATCGAGATGGCTTCGGAATTTTGATCCATGGACTTGGAAAGGGATCGCCTAGTTTTCCTACATCCAAAAGACAATTCGATTAAAAAAAATGTTACCTTACATACACAATCCAATGACTAAAATTCTAATTCTTCTTTTTTGTTTTTTTCCCAGGGGGAGGTTTGAGGATGGGAGAGAGGGAAGAGATTTACTTGAGAACAGAGCTTAGGATTTCATCATCAGAATCATCTTCCAACGCTTCTCGTCCAGTAGTCTGTTCTAGCAACTCCTCGCTATTATCCTTCTTGCCCCTAGAAGTTCAAACAAAATGTTGTCAGACATAGGTATTTACACATCTATGTATGCATGTGTGTGTAAAGATGGAGCCAACATGAATTTGGAATGTACAAATACACATTCCTACAACTTAATTCGGAATAAGGAAACCGAACTGAATAATGAATTTAATAACCTTATATTGTAAGGTATACGTAATGATATTGGAGTCTGACATATGCAGTAAAAATGCCAAAACATTGAAAACTAAGATGGACATACTAATCATTGACATTTACCTTTTCATTAATGAAAAACAGCGTTTCATCACCAGAGTCGTGCATTTTGTTTGCAATAGAGTCGCTATGATCCTCATCCTTCATGCCACCCGAAGGCCTCTTCTTCCGACGAATATGCAAACCAAGCTGCTTAAGCTTACAAGAAACTTGAGGAGCTGTGAATTTCCCATCTCCATCCTTCGCATTTGCAATCATATGGCTGCACTTCTTATGGTCTTTAAATCTGGGAAGATCAAAGAAAGCAAATTTTTCTTTAAAACAATATAATAGTAAACTTCCATTATTTACTTTTCCTTGGTAATCCTTCAGCATTTATCAAGTGAGAAGATATCAAGGTCAAATCCTTCAGCATTTTAATAAGAGAATTGAAATTTGTCCCCGTTATTAGTTGAACTGCAGCTGGTCTTATGATTTTGTCCTCTCAAAACTGTTTTTGGGGTGTCAGGTGTTTGAATGGAGCTAGCAAAACCCAGGTCAAATCCTTTGGTCAAGGAACTGTCGCAGGTACTTTTTCTTATTAGATATCGGTTACAATGCAGTCTTGTCAAATAAAACTATTTCGCCATGCACCTGATTAATTTGTGCGGCTCTCTTCCGAGAGCTCAAAAAATTGCGGACATGATATGGCTTTAGATGCCAATGGGGAGGAGACTGTTGGTCACATCCGGTTCTGTAAGAGCACCCATATACCAGGTCGTTCTCTCTTCTCCATGCGTGTGTCTGAGTGGCTTCGTTGTGTATAGCGTTTCCTGATTGTCGTGTTTTGAAGATCTAGGTGATGCTTTGTGTTAACACAATTTTTTGTTTCATTAACTTGGTTCAGGTTCGGGGTAATGCGAATGGGTTGAGAACTCTCCCACACAGTGCTGCCATAACTACTATAGATTGGCACCCTACGTTACCCATCTTCTTAACAGGATCAGCTGACAACTCTGTCCGAGTAACATCTTTGTCATAAACGTTTCTGACTCTATCTCCGTGTTCTCAGTGTGCCTGACGTTGAATGAAGTTCACTCGCAGTGTGTTAGAACTGGTTTCATTCTGGCTCTCATCCGAGCCATGTGTCTTGTATTCGTATGTAGGTGTAAATCATTGAACAGATTTCATAGAGATCAGCAATTCTTTGATGCACTGATCTTTTGCCTATGGGGCTGGGAAATACCCTGTTTCCTATCCAAAACATTACATTGAATCTAAAAGAACGAAAGTTGAGGCACTCGAAATTTATTGAACTTTATATGATTGTTGTTGGAACTATATTACACATGGCTAGGGCGCAACTTTGATAGGAGTATCTGATTCCGAGCCAAAACATTCCAAAATATTTCGACCAATTAGAATCTGAAATTCCGAATCCGAAAAAGAAAAAAAAAATCATATGGGAAGATCCGGTCCGATTGAAAATCAGTCCATACATAACCCTTTAGACAAACAAGATAGTTGATGACATTTTATATCACATTGCATCAGAATAAAAGAAAAAGAAAAAAACACTTCTGATATTACATTGAATCTAAAAGAACGAAAGTTGAGCCACTCGAAATTTAAATTTTGGAGTACGCTTCTGCCCCAACGAGAGTTACGATGTTACTTGTTGTTGACTTTTTTTTCCTGATGATCCTTGTGGTTTCATATCTACAAAGTCAACAAAAAGTATCTTAAAATTAAAGGTAAATAAATAAAAAGCTTAAAAATAATGCTTCGGCAGTCTTCTACCGAATCTCTCGACAAACTCGGAAAGTACAACCGAGTTTAACGGGTGGAGTTTAGAAGTATATGACAAGTTAGGAGAGTAGAGCTTTACCGTTTACCATTGAAACCTCCCCTGCGGCTTTGCCTTCACAGGCAACGGTCTTCACATAATCCGAGCTTTTATATCATCAAAGAACCGGAAATAGGCGTACCTCCAAGATGTCTTAAGAACTAAAGTACCACAAACACTCCAGAATCCTATGATAAATCCAAGCGCCAAGCCAACATAAAATCCCAAGCTTATGAGACCATCATCATCTTGTTTGGTCTTGTCACTTCCACTGCCATTGGGGACTGCAGGATCTTCCGTTGTTACATCTCCCGGGCATTCTGGTGTGAGCGGTTGCCCGCAAAGTCCAAGATTTCCCGTAAATTGCGAAGCATCAAAACTTTGAAGTTGAGTACTAACCGGAATTCTTCCTGATAAGTTGTTGTATGACAAGTCCAAGACACCAAGAAAATGTAAGCTCGAAAAACTCGGAGGGATGCTACCAGATATCTGGTTTTGTGACAAATCAAGCGATTCTAACATCTCCAGCTGACCAAAGTTGTTAGGAAGCACCCCAGTAAAATTGTTGCTTGACAGGTTCAGAGAAATCAACTTCAACAAGCTTGTTACACTTTCTGGAATGTCTCCGCTTAAGTTGTTGCTCGAAATGTCAATGCTTCTCAAAAGCTTAAGATTTTCGCCAAACTCGATCAATATTCCTTTCCAAACCAGTTGCACAAACCCAACTACAGAGTCGTCCTCCACCTTGGGGGACATCGAAGACAAAGCTGTTATGTTAGGGAGGCAATGGGGCAAGGCTCCGGATAGATTGTTCTTGGAGAAGTCCAAAACATGAAGCGCAGGAAGACTGCATAGACTTAAAGGTATGCTTCCATAAAACCCATTCGACTTTAAGCGAAGAACCAGCAACTTTGTTAGGCTCGGGCCTATCCATGTCGGTATCTTTCCAGATAGCTTATTGTCACCGAGGTCAAGAACTCTTAATTTTGTACAGTTCTCCAAGGAAGGCAATTCTCCGGAAAGTTTGTTCTCCTGTAAGCGTAACAATACAACATCTGTTAAGTAGCCTAATGAGCTTGGAATTTTCCCGGAGAGATTGTTCTTAGCCATGTTCAAGACGAACAAACTTTGAAACTGCATCCAACAAGTAGGAAGTTCGCCAGATAGCTGATTGTCGGAAAGGTCTAGATTAAACAAGTTTGGAGCTTCTGTTTTACAAAAGGAAGATAAGGGTCCCGAAAACATGTTTTGGGAGAGACGCAGGTCGGCTACACTTGAAGGAAACGGCGGAAGTGGGCCGTCCAAGAGATTAGATGACAAGTCAAAAGAAAAGAAGGTGCGGTTTTTTGTTGACAAATTTGGTAACTTTCCATGGATTTGGTTCATTGATAGGTTTAACTCGACGAAGCTGGAAGACAGATCCCAAAACTTATCAGGTATAGAATCCGAAATCTCAGCATCAGCCATGTAAAGTGAAGTAAGTTTTTTCTGAGTTTGAATCCATTTCGGAAAAGCAGGGCCAACCTTGCAAGAGGACAATCCTAGACTTTTGATTTGGAAAGGCGGATTCCAATCCGAGCTAAAGTTGAAAGACAAAGGATTATGGGAAAATTCCACAAAGTTTAAACGGGAGAGATTGGAGAAGTGCACTTCAGTTATGACACCACTAAAAGAATTCCAAGAAAGATCCAAATCTTCGAGGCTGGAAAGTTGGCTGATGCTCTCAGGTAGAGATCCGTTGAGTTGATTTTGGGAGATATATAACTGCCTTAACAACGAAAGACCTGTAAAATCAGGCAGTGATCCGGTGAACTGGTTTCTTAATAGGCTCAAGGATCTTAGCTGGGAGAGTGGCCGAAAACTTTTTGGAAGAGATCCACTTACGTTGGTGCCCTCAATGTACAATACTTTCAAGGATGAAAATCTTGTAAGGTTGTCAGGACATGAACCCGAAAACGGGTTCCCACTTAAACACAAGAACTCGAGGGTGTCTTGAGCACAAGACAAGTTTTCGACAGAGTCTTCAAGTCTGTCGGAAAGTGTGTTTCCCTCTAAATTCAACGACTCTAAGCTGCAAAGGTTTCGAAATGATTTTGGTATCCCGCCTTCAAGTTTGTTATACAAGAGATCAAGAGACACGAGAGAAACCATGTTAGTAAAAACATCTGGGAAGGGACCTTGCAACTGATCACCAACTAAACCAATGTGAACAAGGTTGCTGCTGACATTGGCCATCCAGTAAAATATTGAAAGATCAAGAATATTATCCGACAGTTCAAGGACTTGAAGAGAGTTTGAAGAATTGACAAAAGAAAGCGAACTCAGTTCAACATTGGGAAGATTACACGAAGATAACTGAAGCTCAACAAGTGAAGGGAGTTTGCTTATAGATTCTGGCCAATTTACAACCTCGGAAAAATTAAGACGCGACATATTCAAGTACCTCAAAGAAGAAAGATGAGATAACCACTCGAGATTTTCAAATGTGACATAGTTCCATGCAAGATCAAGAGTATACAAACTAGAGAGATTTCCGAGTTGGGGAGGAATTGGTCCGCTAAGATCAGCACCTGCTAGTTTGAGTTGTTCCAATCGACTTGAAGGAACCGATGAACTTGGGAATTTGTCCTTGGAAATTATTGAAACTGAGGTCCAAGTAAGTTAGATATGGCAATTCAAGTAGAGAAGGAGCAATCACACCACTTAGGGGAGTTCCAACATTAGAAATATCAGAATAATTGTAATAGAGATCTAGCGTGACAACATGACCTGTTTTGTTGTTGCAAGCGATTCCTCTCCACTTGCAACAATCTTTGCCGGTTTCCCAAGAGGCAAGAACGTTGGACTGGTCGATGAGGCCCTGTTTGAACTGAAGCAGAGCGGTTTTTTCTGCTTGTAAGCACCTGATGTTGGAACTGATTCCAGCACCCAAACAGCATTTGGCAGATGTAAGAGCAAACAAGACAGAATATATGATTGTGAGCAACATGTTATGTGAAAAGGTGAATTGAGTTGTATGTGGATTTGGGAGTGAAAAGCAAGAGATGATGTTTTATTGATTGATCCTTTGTTGTCGTTATGTGGACGTTGAGAAGAGGTGGTAAAAAGAAAGATGTGTTGAAAAGTCTGGTGGGTAATGAATGCCTACAGTACTTTGGCAGAAGTTTTCAGCATTGGTAGAAGTTTTCAATGCCCATGCAAAGTAAAATTGAATTTGTAAATGCATGGAGGTTGTATTGTCAAAGATGTGTGCTTGGAGTTGCTCTATAAATAGAGCACTCCGTATGCTTTCAATATAGAGCAGAGAAAGAAAGAGAGGAAGAGGAGAGGAGAGAATACAGAGAGTTATCTTTGTACTCCTATTATTCCAAATTATAATGAAAGCATCACTGCTACCCGAGGACGTACTCCAGTCACATTGACTGTAGAGGAACCTCGTAAATTTTGTGTCTTGTTTTATTTATTCCACTGTACACACATCGTCGATTTTACAACAAGATGGAATCGTAGAAAAACAAAGCAAAGAGGAGGAAAAGTAGTAGAGAAAAGGGGAGAAAGTGGTAAACGAGGGTAAGAGTGAGAACATCTCCAACTCTTGAGTTAAAATCTAAAATTTTTAATTCAAAAAATTTAGATTTTAACCTCAAAATAATTTTTCTGCTCCAATTTTTCTGGGTTAAATTTTTGGACCGACATTATTAAAGGATGAATTTAGCGTAGTTTTTTTTTTCCTTAAAGTAACTTTTTTTTTAACAAATTATGTAGATTATCCTAATTTAATTTTATAAACATTTTAACCTAAAAATATTTTGATTCCAATAAATATTGAAAAATTAGTAAACCAACATCATGAAACTTGTGGAATATAATAAAAGAATATGAAATACATAAAAGATTTTTTTTTAATTATTTTAGCTGTTGGATTTAAATTTGGACCGTTAAATCTTTTTTTCTATTGGATTTAATCATATTAGATTTTAACTGTTGGATTCAATGAATTCATAAACATAAAATTAAAAAAAATACAAATATATGGTGGGCTAACCCACTAACCCGAGGGGAATTCTAGGCTAAATATGCTCCAAAAATGAGTTTTGGGTTTAAAATCATATTTGGCCCAAGGGTTGGAGCAAGTTGGGGTAGGTTTAAAATCTAAAATTTGAGTTTTACACCCAAGGGTTAGAGTAGGTCTATGTGGAAAGGAGGAAAAAGGAGCAAAAGTGGTAGAGAAAATGAGGGAAAGTAGTAGAGAAAAAAGGATGAGGTTGCTCTTCGGATCCTCTTTATGATCCTCATATCTCATCCATTTATCGAACATCATGTGACCAAAAATCATTAGGTACTGTTTGTGTTTAATTTTAAATAAAAAATTCAAAATATTTTTTGTCACACGATGTACGATAAACGAATAGGATGTAGAATCCTCACAAAGAGGATTCGGATAATATCCAAATCAAAGAAAAGGG